CTGTGCATTTGTGTTGTTTTCCATTACTTTTGTGCCTCTTTGTACACATTTTGTGCTTTCCATTATATTCTTGCATTACTTTCCTGTTTAGTGTAACTTTTATATTGTCACCTTTGAGGAAATTTTCAAATAGTGACTTTTTTGTTACTATTTGTGTAAATGTCATTCACTGGATGTCTGGATGTGACCAGGTGATAGTTTCTGTGATCATTTTGTTTCTCTATCTACATGGCAGAGCTATGCTTGTTGCTTTCCATACATTTATGTTTCTTCGTGATTATGAAAGATTAATTGAACCCTAGCGGCTGACACTACGAGTCCTCCTTACCCCTGGGCGTGTGCCCTGCATGTCCTATTAGGAATCCTTTCATGAGAATGGCAATTTACGTTTGCTGGCCTAGCAACTGTAAACTGTAAAGGGGTGGACATGGTTGGCAACGAGTCTTAGTACTATCCCCCACACCATAACACCACCACCACTAGCAGCCTGAATCTTGAAAGCATGGATCCATCCTGCCTTGTATTAATCTTGTTTATACCAAATTTTGACCCTACCATCTGACTGTTGCAGCAGAAACCGAGACTCATCAGACCAAGCAACATTTTTCTAGTGTTACATTGGCTAATTTTGGTAATTCTGTGTGAATTTTCATTTAAATCATCAGGTTGCCATGGAAAGATAAGGACAATCAGCACTGAGCTGAGGCAGTTATGTGAGGCTGAGCTGAGTATAAAGAGAGGCTTCGCTGCTGGAATAAAACAGCACTTTACCCTGCTCCTTTTAAAATAAATGCCTCCTGTGTCTGCAGTTGGTGCATTTTTATGATCCCTCTACAAGCTCTATGCTCATCTTTCTGCTTTGTTCTCCTTTCTGAAGACCCGTGTAGGACAGCTTTCGTCTCACTCCCGAGGTTTTCATCAGGGAGCGGCGAGATGCAACAGAGAGAAACACAACTGCAAATAAATCTTGGGAATTTATTCTTGGCTTTGACAGCATACGGACTAAAAATATTGTCGTGCGAGGTCCAGTTACTTGGCTAGACTTTTTAGCCATATCCCACGTAACCTGGCAAGAGCTTTGCCACGCGATAAAGAAAGCTCAAATATAGCGACTCCTTTACAGAGCACACACACTGGCCTTTTAAATATAAGTTTATAATGAAGGTCAGAGCTGTTGGTGGTGTCACAGTGGACTGCCTTATATTAAAAAGTGTGGCTAATACTCTCCTTCCTCTGTTAGAAATCCTAGCTTGTAATCACTGTAGAGTACAGATGCAATAACAAACTCATATTGAAGTAGTGCCAATCAGAACTAGACACTGAGTGCATGCCAAATAAAGCAACAAAGTGGCCTCTGCTGAATTCTCTGCTGGTACAAAGACTAAAATGTCACCCCAAACTATTCAAAATATCAGCTGAGCGTGTGCATGTGCAGCAAAGGACACAAACCTGCACGTGTTTAAATTTTCATTTTTGAAAAAAATGTAAGTAGACTGACCTTGCACATCACCCACATTTACTCTTAATATCCAAATTAGTTTAGACTAGACACTCTTTGACCTGTAACTGTTTTCTCAGTTTCCTTAATAAATAAGACTTGGGGTAACATATTCTAATTTTAGTTTGTCATTCTAGATGTGGGATATTATTTGAAGGTTGACAACTTAAGCAAAAAATTGGCTAAAATGAAAAGACGGTTAAGCGATGCGTATTTCTTGCCTCAGAGGTTTTCAGAAACACATTTTGCTGAAGCATCTTCTTAATTCGTAAGATGAAAATTAGCTCCAATGTTTGTTGAAATCTGGGACCTCACAATCAACATAAGCTATTCCTCTGCATGGTTATACAACCATGTAGGAGAAGGAGATCACTGTGTAGTACTGGCCGTCAAGCATCCATTGCAGTGATGCAAATATGCCCCTATGGCCAAGCATATCGTTATTTTGTCAGAACCACAGGCATCCAGGTTCATGCATGAGGTGTCCTTTCGAGCGTGCACCCAGACAGACAGGGTTGTGACATCGAGCAAAAGGATCTGGCACTCCCAACTCATCATTTGCCAATATTCCTAAACCTAACCGAGTCAGGTTTTAGTGCCTAATGCTAACTACTGAAAGCAAAAGTTAAAAGTGAGTGAAAAAACAAAACAAATACGCATGTGAAGAACAAAATAAGCAAAAATGAAAACACACGATGCACTGTCTCCTAGCTGAGAAACCTGCAGCCTCCTAAGGCAGACTCGGTAGGTCTCTAAAATAAGACCTTTATCTCTCTGTGTTAGAGCAGCAACACCAGGGAGCAGATTCCTGAAATCAGGAGATGCAGCTGATAAATCAGCATTTCAGACCAGAATCATACAAAGCAAAAAGAGATGGTCATGCTCAAATGAAGACTTGTCACATGTTAAATGACTTGTCAGGCACAAGTCGTTAGCTGAGCAGTGTGTGGCTTCAGAGCCAGACGTTCGAGCCTTCATAACAGGACTTCACTAACTGTCGGGAGATGTAGCAGTGACTACGTCCATCTTCAATCTGTGGTCAGGATGACAACATGACGGCACCACCACAACAAAATATTAACTGTGGGTAATGTAACTCATTCCACATAATCCCCTGTAGGGCCCAACATACATAGAAAAGTTAAGACCGATACAGATACCAATACCTAATACTGATATTGATCCTTATACCAATACTGAGCGTAATACCGATACTTGGTTAAAAATCCGATACATTAGCTAATAATTTTTTTTGATATGTGTAGTTATTTATGAGTTCTTACTTACATGTCGTAACACTAATATGATATAATTGTTTTACTGACCCAAAAAGTGGTTGATTACATGTTTATGCCCGAAACTGCTCGAGTTGGCAGCTGGTTGTCATTTGTGGTCTCCCAAACATGCGTTTTGTGAAACTATTCAACATCATTTGCTTTTTAGATTTTTACTATCGGCTAATACTCATATATCAGCAAGTAGCTAATATGAGGCCGTCCTGGCAGAGCTAATCCCCGGGATGCATTTTTTCATTTTTACTTTCAAACAAAGACATAAATTGGATCAAAAATGACTGATCATGCCTGTTGAGCAAAGATTTTAGATTTGCACATGTTGGAATTTTAATTTTCTGATTCAGGTTGGTCCCTAGTTTAACGCCCAGTGAACAAATTCCATTTGTTTCAGTGTTAAAATCTTTTTTATTTGACTGAAGACTCTTCAGCCAGTTAACATTGCTTATAATCCTGCTCAGAGTCTGGGATAAGCTAACATCCACCTCTTTTTATGGACTTTGTGGGTATATAAGGCATGCAAAGGAAGATACTTATAAAACAAGAACATACATAATCATAAAGGATAAAGCAACTCATTTATTATAATCCCCCGTGTGCGGGTAATGCATTGTTAAGAATATAACTCACACTGAACACAGATTGTTCTGCTAGCCAAAGCCTTTTGTTGAAAAAGCACAATTTTCAATCTCATAAAACATAGAACAAATATTTTTACACAAAGCTATAACCAGGTGTAATATCACCTGCTGCTTCAAAGTCATGAATCAATCTTTTTAAAATAAGACGCCGGTCGCTTCCTGAAGTGCTGCTGTCTGTGATTTATGGTGAAGGAGGGAAAAAAAGGCTTCCTCCCGCAGCTGTTTGTCATGACTGGAAATCTGCATTTAAAATTAATGGGTGGCAGAGAGCAGGAAAACGAAGCGTGGTTAATGAGCTCCCATAAAGACATGACGTCTGTGACGTGAGCTGAGCAGGTAAAGGCCGTGTGGGGGGATATAAAGACACAGCAGCTCATTGGATAAATCGATACAGAACCTTGTAAGCGCAGATTAGCTGCTCTTTGGTATTCATCCAAAAAGAAGCATGTTAATTCGGTGCTATTTGCCAAAGGCTACTTTGGATTAAACCTCATGGGAAGGTGCAGAGGAGGGGGGATGTGACCAGTGGTCTGGGTGATTTAGGTGCATTCCTGCAACAGCTAATTAAACAGAGCAAAGGAGGAGTGAAAGAGAGAGAGAGAGATTGCTTTGAAATTCTAATCCCCCGATAGGCATTCAATTAAGGTTGGGACACTTTTACAACAGCTGTTAGTCTAGTTGAAATATGAGGCGTAAACAGAGCGCAGCATACGCTCCACTCACCTCAAATCACACAGGTGGACACACAAAGCAGTGTGTCAATGTAGAGTCGAACCACTGTTACGTACTTAAAGCTGTAGATGATAACGAAATATCGATCATCTTTCAGGGCCAACAGCTTATTATTACTGCATATAACGCCAGTTTTTACAGGCTAACATCCAGGTTTTCCCTCTTTTGTCCCACATGGTATTTACACTGATGGTTGTTATTTGTGTTTGGCATCTTTGCAAACTTTTGCAGCTTAAAAAATGATGATGTGTGGGCTTTCAGCTGTCCATTTTCTGTGCAGAACACCACCTGAACAGTATCGCCTTTTCATGATTGCTTTCAGATCATACAAAAGAATGAAAATAAAGAAAAATAAAAGCTTTTTGTGCACATATACATAGATAGATCTCTCTCTCTCTCTCTCTCTCTCTCTCTCTCTCTCTCTATATATATATATATATGTAGGGTTTTTTGTTTTTTTAACACTGCATTTAAATCACCATTCCACTTCTTACTTCTTATCAGTCAGACGGAGGTATTTCTAGAGCCTAAGCAAAACGAGGCTCTTGTCCTTGCTCAGATATAACAAGGACATTGGGCTTTTTAAAAATTCGATGTTTTTCCAATGGAGTTTTGAACGCAGCTTGATTAAAAAAGACAAAGCTGCTTCAAATGAGCTTAAATGGAGAGAAACAGCGTGGTAGACATGTGTTCAAACACCTGTGTCCCATCATGCCGTAAAAATGTCATAATTATGTGAGTTATGCCAGCTGTTTGTGCCAATCCTGTCACTGCTTCCTAAAGTTTCTTATATTTAGATTAAATATGAGACACAGAGAAGGAAAACGGGACACTCACTTCCTCCGACCATCCCCGGGGTCTGCCAGCAGGCCAACAGGAGCAGCAGCATCAGCCCGAGATCCAGGTGAAGAGACACGGTCATAACCTCCTCCTGTGTCTCCACGCACAAATACGCACACACCACCACCACCACCAGCACCTCTGGCTCCTTCTGCACGCTTTCTTCTCTTCCTCACCTTCTCACCTCCTTTACCCCACCTCCCCCTGCTGCTTATTTACTGAAGGTCTCGCCACGGGGTCACCACTGTTTCCACATCACCCGTCATCGTCTGCTGCTGCTGGTGCTGCTGCTGTGGAGGGCACAGTTTTGCCAGACCGCACTGGTCGGACTCCCAACTTGCGCGAAGTAGGTCAGTAGGTGTGCAGCCTAAATCCCAGCCTCTGCTCTCTCACCGAGGGCACGGAAAAGCGCAGAGCGGAGCCCGGAGGAGCAGAAGAAGGTGGAGGGGGTGGGAGAAGCTAACAGGTAGTCTCCGTGTCTTGCGGTTTCTGGTTAAATGTCGGAGATTTCGTCGCAGCAGGTGGAAGGTCGGAGCTCGGTCATTTATGAGGAGAAACTGCGCTCATTCGGGGTTCGTGTGGATACATAGGAGGACGGAGGGGCTGATGCCGAGGCTCCCGACGTCTCTCACAGGAGGACGCAGGAGCCCAAAAGGTGGTCCCGTCTCATCCGGAGAACAGCAGGCTGGTTTAAAATCTGGCAGATTGCGGGGAACCTCTGAGGATCAGAAAATATATGTGTGTGCGTGTGTGTGTGCGCAGGAGCTTCAGCCGGGAACTCCTCACGTCAGCCGCAAACACAGCCGATCTGCACCGACACAAATCCTGTCACTACACAGAGCATGGAGGATGATGAGGATGAGGGGGGAGAGGAGAGCGAGAGAGGGAAGGTGGGTGGGAGGGAGGGAGGGAGAGGACAAAGAGGTGCGTTTCTGTTCGTGGAATAACCTGCAAGCTGCTAGAGACGAGCGCTCTGAAGTGCCAACTGTTGCTTATGTAATAAGCCTCGCAGCACTGATCTGAATTCATTCCTTCAGAGATCAACAAGTACAGCCACGAGGCCATCTGCCTCTGACTGGTTTTAAACTAGGTGCTGTTTAACCCTCAATTCCAGTTACAGCCTCCCAGTGGTCTGTGACTCATACTCACTGGTTTTCTATTTGAGCTATAGCTGCCGTTTTGTTACCTTTTAGCCATAGCCTGTATGTAAAAGATGGACATAACCACTGAGGACTGTCAGAATTTTCAAATAATTGTTAACTTATTTAAAAAAAAATATTAAAAAAATAAGAAAAGAAATATCATTTGTAGGACTATTTTTTTCTCTTAACCCTTTAAAGCCAGTCAGAGCAGGCACGCTCTGTTTTGCGTAACTATTTTTTAAATCCGGGTAGAACTGCAACCATGTAAGCTAGCGCAATAATTTTTTTTGCTTATGAAATGGAGGAGTTGTACTTACATCTTATGCCATCAGCTTGATCTATGTCACGGTTTCCTTCCACATATAGCTTTGCAAAAATGGCATAAAAAGCACTTACAGCAACAAAAACATAACATTCCAGAAACATGCTTTGCCGATCCGATCAGCTGTTCATAACACTTCCTACGTCCATCAGCGCGAACTATCGCATGTCCGCCATGACCTGCCCGAAACCGGAAGTGACGTCATTTTGCAGAAATGCAGGGGTTTTTTTTTACCTTCAGGGCCTTACTGGTGTTTTTAAAAGTTATGTTTGACTTTATGACTTTCTTTATCATTTCTGGGATGCTGAGGACTCATATTGCACTGCTGGAAATAGTTAATTTTGATGCATATGCTGCTTTTTTTTGCAAATTTGCAGTATAATATTTATTTTCGTTTTTCCTGCAGTATATAAAAATTGGTGTATTTCAAAAATAAAACTATGAAGACACTCAAAATAAATTTCGTGTGATGGGAAACTATTTTGTGCAACTTTTTTGTATTTACAGTTTTGAGGGATAAGCCTCTTAAATTTCTCTTTTTATATGTTAAAAAAACAAAAATGATTTTCAATTTTTTGGTAGTTTATTGCACTTTTTTGCAATTTATATAATTACTATGCACTTAATGCATACATATTATTAAAATTTGGGCTATAATGGTTGTATTGATGTATATCAACTTGAAATGCTCCCAAAAATGGCACTACAGCATGTAAAAATATAATATAAGCTCTGGCGAACTTGGTATATGGTAGGTCTTAAAGGGTTAAGCTATACACTCACTGGCCACTTGATTAGGTACACCTTGCTAGTACTGAGTTAGACCTTCTTTTGTCTTCAGAACCACCTTAATTCTTTGTGGTATAGATTCAACAAGGTGCTGAAAACATTCCTGGGGATTTTGAGATTGTAGAATCACACAGTTTAATGCAGATTTGTCAGCTGCACATCACAAGGCAAGATGGATCCATGTTTTCATGTTGTTCATGCCAAATTCTAACCATATCATCTGGATGGTATTAGAACAGGTGATGTCGTTATAGTCTTCTATTGCCCAACTTTGGTCAGCCTGTGTGAATTGTAGCCCCAATTTTCTGTTCTTAGCTGACAGGAGTGGCATCTGCTGTGGTCTGCTGCTACTGTTGAGATGCTTTTCTGCACACCTTGATTGTAACAGGTGGTTATTTGAGTTACTGTTGCATTCCTATCAGCTCAAATGGTTTATTACCTATTCAGGTTGTGTATCATGTTTTTAAAAAGCACCCAAGCAACTAAGTAATAAAGTAATTAATTACTTTTGAAAAGAAGTAATCAGTAAAGAAACTGGATTATGTTTTTGGAGAAGTAATTAGCAATTAATTACTTTTTCAAGTAACTTGACCAACACTTCTGGTTAGCGAAGTCCAGTTGTGAAGCTCCAGCTGAGTGTTTTACTCGCTCACTGGCTGATGACTCATAAATGACAAGTGATTAGCCAATACAGACGCTGTACTACCAAGTATTACTACCAAGACTTACTTCTAGAAGCACTTTGGTATAAGAAACTCACTGATACCAAACCTCTTACTATTCTACAGGAAATGAATTTGTGAGCTCTGCCTGTTTGTTTTCTTTTTTACATAAAACACAACAAATATTGTTGTATAATGTTATTTTTCTTTATATGATGAGCAATGTTCCCTCTAATTTTTCATGTGTCTGAGCGCAAACACAAACTCCCTGAGCGGTCCCTTGGACCACTGTGAGCAACAGCAGACGTTTGTACTCATTCATCTAAGTTACATGGTTTATTAAAAGAATCTAATTACAGTATTTACATTTCTTTTAGAATCCTTTTAATTAACTGCTTTATCCCACTTACAATGAAAATTTTAAAAAATCTTGTTCATGACCTGTGTAGTATGTTAACACTATTGGAAGTAAAACTAACTTGAACTGTACCAATTTGCTACAGTCTGTATCAAATAAGATGCCACACAAATTATTTACACACACAAAACTATCGACTACACTACACACTAATTACACAACGCAACACACTAACCTTCGACTCCAAACACGCTTAACGTCACAAATCTCTCACATCTCCCGCCGCAGTCACTCCTACAACGTCCCCTTCTTCCTAAACAACCAAATGCCATGTTGCCATATCATTTGTTGATTTGTCAACATGGTACATTTTTCCACCAATAGGAAAGGGGGGAGGTTTTTTTGGTTTTTGGCTTTGCTCACACGCTTTCGAGCGCTTTCCTTAGAAAACGCAGTTTTTACAGTTTCTTCCCGCAGTAAATATAAACAACGATAGTGTTCAGGAATAAACATCACATATATTTCTTTTAATCACAACTCTGGTTTTACATGGTTTTACATCAACACAATTTAAAAACTGGTATATAGTTTGAAGTCCACACTTTAAGACAAAAATGGAAATCGGGGTTGTCTTGGGTTGACATAACATCTTTTTACTATGTCATCTTAATTTGGTCATGTGATTGGTTTACCATGACTACTTTATTCTTCCTCAGCTAATCAGTAGCACATGTGCGATTGTCTCCCCCTCCTAGCTCCCAGTAAGCTGAAGATAGGTTCAAGCGTCTGTGCGTTGAAACATAGTAAAGAGTCCACACCGCATTTTCTTGTTAGTAACAGCGTTGTAATGATTGAAATGGTAATTATTCAGATTACTAGTTACTGAAAAAAGTAACGGCCGTTATTCCCATCTCTGATAATGACACAATTATTTGTATTTATTGATCAGTATCCACAAATTAAAATTGTAAATAAATCACACTAGTTGTGCACAAATCTGACTGAGACCCTAAACTTTACCTTAAATTTTCCGTCTTCCCTACTCACATTTCCAGTGGTTGTACGCGTTGTCATTAGTGTGTCTTCCGCTTTGCTACCTAAAACACCGGTGTCATAACCTGTCAATGATGTTGATTAGCTGCGTATATACAAATGTGAATCATTGGCTGGAGCCGCCAGTCACCGGTCACTCACTGACTCACACTGCAAAACGGCACAGAATGAATTGTTACGTATATATTTTAATTTGAATTCAGGTTGGAATTCTTTGTGCGTAGTGCAGATTTTCTGTGCTCGGAGACCGTGTCAGCAGTGCGCGATTGCGCGCGCATGCAGCTTAGAGGGAACAGTGATGAGTTGATTATTGCCAGCTGCCTTACAGCCACTAATGTGATGGAGTAATAATAACTTGCAGGTTTTCAGCATTTTCATGACTTTAGAAGCAGTTTCGACAAACAAATATGAGAAAAAATAAAAGTACACGTGCAAGTGTGCTGCACAATGTTTGAATCACACGCTATGCAAACAGCCCTAACCCTTTTATAAAGCAATACTGAACAAAAATAGCACAAACCATTTAGTGATTTTCTAAAATGTGGTATGGATTTAATGACTTGAAATACTTTTCAACACATGAATGCATATTAAAGCTTGCACAGAGGAAGACAGAACCCATGAAACTGCACCATTATGTCTCACAGTACCGACTGTAGTTAGGCAAATATAGTTTCTCATTGATATGCTGGTTTTTCACAGGCCACAGAATTGTCCTTTAATATTTTAACCACTACTTGGGGTTTGTTATTAAGAGCTTTATTTCAATTATAAGTCTCTTGAGATACATTATGTACAATTCAGAATAGTTTTTTCTTTAAAAGATTTACTGAAAAAAATGACGTAACTACATAGAAATACTGTAATTTCGTGTTGCATGATTATAGAATTACACTATAAAGCCATCTCATTATAACAATGTTATCCTAAAACTGTAACTAGAAAAAAAGCTGCCTTTAAATAAGCTAACTATGGGAGGTACGGCTGAGTATATGGACATATATGGACTTCCTACGTTGAAGCTTGAGTTATGGCAGCTATGAAGCTGTAAAACCTACTCAGTAAACTGAGTGCATGCCTTTCAGCCCTCTCCAAAGCCTTTATATCACAATAATGGTTCTTCCCAGATGTTGGATGGTGTCAGAATAAAGCTTGATATATTTTCATGGTCTTGACTTTGTTCAGACTCATATTGGACTCGAAGTGAAGCAATCGATATTTCCAGCTGATATTTTAATTTTCTTTTGTATACATTAACTTTAGTGTATTTACTGAAGCTTTGCCTTCATAGACTGAATATTTATGAGCTTCAGGCTCCCAGAGCACATCAGGAAGGTTCAAAATTTGGTGCTTTGTCTTTATTACCTCCACCAAGTCATTGGTCATTCTGCCTGTAAATATGAGAGCTCAAAAACTTTGGCTTATATCCACAAAGGTCTTCGAGGTCAGCTTAATGATTTGTTGATGGAAAATCGACAAAAAGCCTTGTAAGAATCATAGTTTCTAAGTTATAAGTGTGGTCTCTGTTGTCAAAATATAAAAAGTACCATGTAAAGGTTTAAAATATCATATCAG